ATTAAAATTATTTTAAACAAAACTTTAACGTAAATATGTATATATAACATTCTTAACTACTCTGAAGGACCTGGTGTACAATATTTTTCCATTCGCTTCTATTTTGTGCTTTTTTTTCCATTCCCTCACCTTCACGTGTTTAAGTTCTTCCTCCGCTTTACTAATCCACCTCGTTCTGGGTCTACCTCTTCTTTTGGGTTCGACTAATTTTCTGGTTATTACTAGTTTAGGAATTCTGTTTGCTGCCATTCTTCCCACATGTCCCAACCATCTGATTCTTTGTGCCTTGACGAACTTGGTAATAGTAGGTTCTTTGTATAAAGCCATTAATTCATTGTTGGTTCTTCTTTCCCAACCATCTTCTGCCTTTCGTCCTCTGAATATGCATCTCAATATTTTCCTTTCCCATCTTTCCAGAGTATCCTCTTCCTTCTTATTTAATGTCCAGGCTCACCGGCATATGTTACTGTGGGTCGAATTACTGTTTTATATATTCTGAGTTTATCTTGTCTAGAAACGTATTTTGAGTTCAGTAGGGCTCTTAAACCACCTAATTTTTTATTCCCTTTTGCTATTCTGGCTACGAGCTCCCATTTATCTTTTCCATTTTCATCGAAAACTACACCTAGGTATTCAAATTTGTCCACCCTTTTAAAACTATAGCTTTTACCACTTACTGACCTCATACTAAAGTCTTCTTTTTTCCCTTCTGTTCCTTCTATGATCATATATTTAGTTTTGTCTTCATTTAGTTCCAATCCAAATTTCTGTGCTTCTTCGATGATTTTGTTCACAACTCTTCTTAATTCTTACTCGGTTTTTGCTAGGATCGTTAGATCATCAGCAAATGCCAAGCACTGGTGCTCATTTTTCATGATCGTTTCTTCCATCTTCATGCTGCATTTTCTGATTACAGTTTCTAATACTAATTTCAATAATGTAGTGGATAAAGGATCTCCCAGTCTCAAGCCTTTTGCAACCGTAAATTGATCTGATATGTGACCCTGCCAAGCAGGGTGCTAACAGGTGAAGATGCTAACAGAGTAATGCCTCTATAGTTCTTACAATCCAGTTAATCGTCCTTTTTATGCAACGTATCTTATTTCATTTAGCCACTCTTCTGGAACAAATTCATTTTGCCATATAAGTACTATTAGTTTATGGGTTACTGCAAAAAGCTGATCATCACCTTTTTTTTATATATTTTCCAACAGATTTAATCGATTCCTGTGGCTTTATTGTCTTTGAGTTTTAGGACGGCATTTGACACTTCTATTATTGTTGGGTGTTCACTGTGTAGTTGTCGATGTAGATTTTGTTGATTGTCTATGTTGTAACCTCTTTCAATATCGTTTATATCATATATTATATAAATATATATAAATATATATGTCGGTCAGATAGCTCAGCGGGCTGTGCGGCTGCCTCTCATTCGCTTCACTGTCGAATGGTTTAGTGGATGTGGGTCGAGCCCAAGCTCGGTGTACAGAAAACAAAAAGTCTAACGCAGCAGTTTAAAATTCTAGATGAATCTGCGGCTTAGACTAGGATATGCTGGGTTCTGATCGGCCTATGGTGGAGCAGTACGGCAAGAGATAAGGGCTTGCGGCTCGGTGATACTCCTCCATAGATCCCTACCGGACGGGCGTAACGCCTAAAAAACCGGATATATATATATATATATATATATATAAATATATATATATATATATATATATATATATATATATATATATATATATATATAAATATATATATATATATATATATATATATATAATATGATATAATAATAATGTACTTATTCTTCTTCTTCAAGTTCCACTCCTATCGGAGATTGGAAATCATTCTGGCAATTATCATTTTGTTGGATATGCGCCTGAATAGGTGAGTTAAATTGCATCCAAACCATTCACGGAGATTACGTAACCACTAGATTTTACGTCTTGATGTGTGATGTATGATGTGCCCCAAGTATTCTAATTTCCTGATTTTTATGGAATTTAAAACTTCGCATTGTTTTCCTAGTTGTTCGAGAACTTGTTCGGTTGTTTTGCGATCCGTGACCAAGCTTGAATCCCATATAAAAGGGTAAAGAAAATATAACATCAAAGCATTCTTATCCGGAGCGATATATTGATATCTCGATTACAAAAAAGTTTTCTCGTTCTATTAAAAGTTGACCGTGCAATTCCAATGCGGCATCTTATTTCTTTTGTCTAATCAGTATCTTCTGTGATCCATGCTCCAAGGTATTTGTACAAAGATATTTGTTCAATTTCTGTATTATCTAGTACTAGCTTAACTTTGATGCTTTGTGCTTTTGTAAATACCATGAACTTGGTTTTCTTCAAATTTATTTTTAGTCCAAAAAATGTACCTATAATATGATATAATCCTTATAAAATGTCTTCGGACGTTCATTTTTCATTCAATTCGTTGTTCCATTGTTCTTTAAGTTCTTTCGAGCTCATTAAGTTTCTTATTCCTTCCATCCGTGTTTTCTAAGGTAATAATCTCTTCTGGATTACGGTAGGTGTTCATACAGGTACTTGTTTTAGGAGTCTCTTGTCTTTCATTTATTGGACCTGTACCCATTTGAGCTGCTTTCGTTGTATGCCATCCATGACTGTACCTTCTATTCTCATACTTTATTGCATTAAGTTCGACGAGATATCTTTCTTCGATATTAATCTGTCTCTGTTAATCGTCGTGTTTCACAACCGTATAAATAAAGCATGCTTTTTACCACAGTTTCATGGCTTGTAGTACTAGAGAGAGCATGTCAGCTGTGCCAAAACGAAAAATAATCCTCCTTATTGCTTCCACTGGAATAAGCTTGACCATTTAACTGGGCCCGGGCTACCTCTTTCTAATTCTTTAAACTCCTGTTTTGAAATTAATAATTATTTTGTCTAATTACCTATTTAGTTGTCAAAACAGATACATTGTTAACTAAAGAAGTGAAAGTGGTTCAATTTAGAAATTATATAGTAAATAATAAATATTTGAAAACTGATGCACATATTCCTCCCGCGATTTATGCTTCAAGTAGGTACTAATTTTATAAATCGCACTTCTACTAATAGACGTAAATTCTTTCATTTTAATTTCATGAATGTTTTTATTCAACATTATTTCAAAACCACACTGAATAGAAGGCCGCCCAGTCGTTTATTGTATAGACCCAAGACTTTACACAATAGGGGGTTGTATAAGGTAGGTATAAAGCTTACCTCTAGTACAAGATGACGTTTAGAATATTCTTCGTGAATGGATTTTGTTTTTGTAAAGAAAGATATTTTTGAAATAGACATCTCTCTGAATTTTACCGTTACAATTATCGAGGATAAGCCTTAAGGCCAAATTGAATAACAACGGTGATAAGCTGTCTCCTTGTCCAAGTCCTGATGTTATACTAAATGGTATCGATCTTCTCCCATCTTTACATGTGCATGTGAGTCTGTCATGCACATTTGAGTTACCTCCACTAATTTTTCTGGTATTCAAATTTCTAACATGCTAGCCATAGTCTATCTTCTTTTTATTGAACTATATGCTTGCTGGAAACCTATAAAAATTTGGTTCACATCATCATCATCATATTAAATAGCTAAAAAATATTCTAAAAGCTGGTTTAAAAACAAAACTTTTCAAAACTAAGAAAAAAATGTTTTAGCACTCATAGGAGCCTCTTTTTTTTTAAATCACTGTTACGTTAATTATCAATATTAAAGGCTAAAATTAACCAATCTTTTATAAAAAAAATCAAAGTTTTTAACAAAAGTTTTAGCAAATAAAATTACTAAAAACTTTTAAACATGAATGTTGCAAACAAAGAGTATTTTGCAAGTTATTGATTCAAATATCCTTATTTGGAAATTTTACTCTACTTCATCAGTAATAATTTTTTTCGCAAAATTGTTAAAATATAAGTTACTGGAATAGATAAGAAGATAAGATTACCGAAGGAACAGGAACGATTTACTAAAATAAAATAAAATAAAATAAAATTATTAACTACCACTATAAAACTAACTAAAACTATAAAATAACTAAAATTAAATAAAATTAAATAAAATTAAATAAAGGTAAATAAAATTAAGTAACATTAAATAAAATTAAATAAAAATTAATATAGCTAAATAAAATTAAATATAATTAAATAAAAATAAATAAAATTAAATAAAATTAAATAATATTAAACAGAAGTAAATAAAAAAAAATTAAATAAATTTTAATTTGGATCTTTTACCGTTGTGGATAATTAAAGTTTAAATCTTATTTAATATATATTGTAACTTATTATATATATATATATATATATATATATATATATATATATATATATATATTTAGGCGGCACACGCCCTTCCGATAGGGATCTATGGAAGAGTATCACCGAGACGCAAGAATAAGCCGCAGATTCATTTAGAATTTTAAACTGCTACGTTAACCTTTTTGTTTTCTGTACACTGAGCTGGGGATTGAACTGACACCTCTCGCAGTTAAGCGAATGAGAAGCCAGCCGTCCAGCCCTATTGGCTATTCGATCGACATATCCGAACGAAGTATTCTTTTATTTCTTCTTTTATATCGTTTTGAATTTCTTCGTTTCTTGTAATGAACATTTTTGTGGCCATTTTTGTAATCTCTTACCCAGTCTGTTTTATCACTGATATTATTTTGTCTGTATACTTTCTAAATCTGGTGGTGAATTTCATCTGATTTTACGTCTTTAACACTAAGAAAGTGAATAGCAGCATTTATTTCACAATCGACGGAGACATTTTGAATACTCAGTATCTATTTCGAACAGATGTAATTACACATTATTGCTGTAGCACAATCGACAATACCGCTGCAGAGTCGAAATATCCAAACCATACTTAAAACGAATCTCGTATATTATAGAGAGAAAATAATTTATAATGTTATGTTAAAATAAATTACTTTATGTTTACATTTGATGTACTTTAATTAATTCTAAACATTTTTAGACAATTATATTGGAAGATGCAGACAAATCAGATGCAATTCGGCAAAAAAGAGGTATTGAAAAACAATACTCTTTTGATGTTGTGTTTGGAGAGGATTCGACACAAGAGGAAGTATACAAAGTTACTACGAAAAATCTCATAACTGACGTTCTCAACGGGTAAGTAATAACACCTTTAACCTCCCTAACAATTCAACCTCATTAATATGATAAGTACTACAAAGGCTGTTACAATTTTAATATATTGTGTTTCTGTTTTAATGTTTGTGCCATCCAAAAAATATTTAATTAAATTAATTTATACATCTTAACACAATAGCTAAAGACAAAATATACAGTATAAATAAAAAATAATAATAACATCTTGATATTCAGCTTGATTCTAAGATTATCTTGAAATTCAGAAGTACAAGTGAATATATTCCTTAAGGGGGAAGGTGATTCTCAAAAGTACCCTAGTATATAGAGCTTTCCTATATCTGACATCTTTTAGTTTTTAATACATATCAAAATACCGTACTGGGGCCTGATGATGGGGCAAATATTGTAAGCCTTGAAACCGGTAGCCCAAAATTTACCAACATTTTTTAAATAAAAGTATTGACTCATTTCCAGTTCCCCTGTGAAGATATTTTACTTATATCTACACATAATTTATAAAAATATAAACTGGACTAAATAAACCTACAAGCTATTAAATGAAATGCTTAAATTGCAAACCATTTCCTCTTAACAATAAGCAAGACGATGTTGAAACTCTTACAAAACAATATTAAGGGTATCAGCATTATTTAAATGAATTTCGGTCCTTTTTTTTCTTTTTTTTTTAAGTTCCTCAATATTATTAGGTCAGTTAACGTAAACTTTAGACTTAAAGTATCCCCGTAAGAAAAAATCTAGTGGAGGCAAGGGACAGATCAGCAGCCTGATCTGCCACTCAAAAATCCTCGTCTGACAATTCATATATTATGCAAGGGTTTAGTCCGTGGCCTCATTTGAGAAAACACATTTCCGTAGGAATTGGGGATCATGATTACATTAATCCATCGTTAATTCAACAAAATTCTTGTCTGCGATCGAAATCATCTTCATTAAGTTCATGAATCACTTGTACTTATATCTGTGCCACCTATTCTCTTTAAGAGACTTTAAAACAGATGTTTAAGATATCGATTTCTCCAATGCAACTTGACAGGTAGGTTTATGAGGATTTTCTTGCACTGATAATATTACATTCCATCGTTGATCTTGTGTAAGGCTTGGACGGCCTTCCGTATATATTTATCATCGACATTGTTAAAATTTCTAAATTTTACTTCATCTTTGCTCATCGTTGATTGTGTAATAGGTCTATTGGGATATTTATGTTACAAATCTCAGCATATGTACGGATCCTATCTCCATAACCTACCATCATTAAAATCTCTGTGCATTGCTTGTCGCTTACACAGGCCATGATGTCGACAACTTTTTTAAAACACAGCTACTATTAGATAGCTAACTATTAATTTGAAGTCGAAATAGTGCAATTTAGTCTTAATGAGACATGTTTTTATCTACTAAAAGATTTAAACCAATAAAAAGTGATTTTAAAAACTATTTACAGGCAGCGGCGTAACGAAAATTAGAAAAATACGTGTTTTAGTATTTTCGAAATAATTTCTGGAAATGTTATGTGACATAAATGACATAAAAAAAGATAAGCTCTTTTAGATAATAGTGTCAAAATAAAGTATTGTATAATAAAGTATTGTGTCAAAATATAGTATTACAATTAAAAAATAATGACGTCATAATTAGAATAGTGATGAAGTCATCAAAATATGAGTTCAGCAAAAAATGCGCAACTAAAAAATAAAATCGACTTGTCTGAGCTTTTTTACCCAGTTACTAAATCAAGCGTTTAACGAACTTATTTCAACCTTTACGTACTCACTGTATAATATATTTATTACTATTTATAATGTCGCTTTAAACCGTACAAACAATATCAATTTATTATTTAGACTAACTAAAATGGAATTCGATCTGTATTTATATATTGTCCCGTTACTCTAAAACTCTAGCTAAGACCCCTCGTGGTGTCACCTGGGGCCTTATTCTTGAATCGAGAGAAAATTTTACTCCCCACTAAGCTAACTCGCTTTTCTACTCCATCATAATTTCTCTCGATTTTAAAAAGTTGTATTCTTGAATACGGGCAGTAGAAACAAATGAGAGAAACTATCAACAGTGTTGCCGGGTTTTGGATGAAAATTTTAACCAATCACAAAAGTTAATTATTGACAAAGGACAAGATACTGTCAACCGTCAACCTCAACACATGCTCACTACTTTTGTTTTTGTATTGGCTGTTTTGTTAACACAAAGTTTTTTAAATTAAATACAGGTTGTATTTTTAAAAATATTTTTCAGGTAAGTCAACCATCTTTTTTGAATATGTATACCTTAAGTTTTAACACTTCATAGCATGAAATTTACAAAATATAAAACCTCCAATTATAACCTCATTCTTTGTAAACAGAAGCATGGCACATATTTCGGCAGAGCAAAAAGAAATTATGTTGGAATTCATTAAAACAAGGCCAAAATTATATGCTGGGAAATTTTCGCCAGAATTTACTAGGCAAGATTCGAGGGCGTTATGGCAGGAATTGGCGACCATATTAAATTCCCATTGTAATGGCGCCAAAAAAGAATGGAGTGCTTGGCGTAAGGTAAGTTATAAAAATACACTTATTATTTTTTAATAAACTTTTAAAATTCAGAACTAAACAACTTTTCATCATATAAAAATATTATCTCTTCTACTTCTATAAAACATAGAAAAAACTATTTTCCACATTCCTTGTTTTCATTGTAGACCTGGATTGATATTAAAAAAACTGTAAAGCAAAGGCTGCTAAAGTAAAAAAAGAACAAAGAGGTACAGGAGGAGGGCCAGCAACAGCTTCAGATGCCTTTGAGGATGGAGTAATAGAACTTCTGAGCCCTGTATCAATATTAGGAAATATGCAGGTACCAGAGCCAAGTATAAGCTTAGAGGGTGAAATATTCCCAGCGAATATAGAAGAGGAGGAATCAGTTGAAAACATAAAGGTATGTTATATTGTATGTTTTGAAGGTATTTCTTATTAAAATAGATAGAACCCAACAGTTTTATATCAGGTCATACACAAAAGTCAAGCTTTTCTAATGAAGTATATTAAGTAGAAATGTTAAACTACACAGGTTATAGGACTGTAATCACAGCATTTTTAGATCAAATATTTACAGTAAAACAATATATACACATGATTATCTACTGCTTAACTACAATCAGCTAATTAATATCTTGTTTCACAGCTCGAACATCAATACCATGCATCCATCCATAAAGATGACCAACCATCATCATCAAATGTATCAGGAAAACGTAAAACAAAAACTCAGAGACTGAATGAGTCGATAAAAAACCACTCAAAAATGGTAAAAATTGCAGAGTGTGGTATGTTTGACACACAATCATACCAAGAAAAAAATTAAAAATGATGAGTGATCAAACTCAAGCAATAAAAGAACAAACAGAAGTCATCAAAACAATTTCTAGGGAGCTAGATAGTATAAAAGGCTTCTTAAATGAATTAATTTAAGTTTTTTTTAATTAAATTTTTAAATTATATGAAGTTTTGTTTGTTTTTCTGTCCCTTCAATCCTAAACCTCTAGATAGAGTGTAGCAGTTGTCTTATGTATGTATGCAGATACTATCAGTAGTGTTTATTATTACATCTTGGACATCCACTAGTTTGTTGTACATAGTTTTTTTTCAAGTTTAGTTTTAGTTCAAATTCATTGTTAGCTACATTTAGATCGCTTAGAAGTTCTGCAGGATTAGTAGCAATCAGAACAATGTCATCTGCAAACCTCACATGGCTAATGTATTCTTCATCAAACGATAGGCCTTTGTTCTGTCAGTTCATTTTGCTTGATATATTTTCTAGAGTTGCACGGAAGACCTTTGCCAAAGTCTCTATGTATGGATGGTCAAAACTTCTAGTACAGCCTTGTAATGTATAGAATTTAAAGTCTGTTTAAAATCATTTTGTTATACAGTAGGATAAAATAATACATACAATTATTTTAGTAGCATAATATATTTGTAGCTTGGCCATATGAAATACAAGACAAGTAAGAATGAGATCATACACTTGTGTATCTATAAAAAAAGAAGATTTTGACAGCAGCAATATCTAATACATCCACTTACATTTTATTTATTAACAAAATTATACATTGATTATAACTGATTAGCATACATGAGAAGACTAAAGCAAAAAAGTTGGTTTGCTAAAAAAAGTATAGTTGAAATAAAGGAATCAGTCATAAACAATATTTATTATTCTAGAGTACAATTAGAAATATAATAAATGTACATCTCTTTCTGGTCCACCCAGAACACAAGTCCACATTCTAGTATAGGACATATGATTTATTGGAGATGTTTAAGGTCTTTTCACGAGAAAAAAGAAAAAAACATTACAACCGAGTTAACATTGGATACAACAAAGTATAGAGTACGTGCATCAGTAAAATACCTAGGAATGTATCTAGATAAAAAAATGACATGGAAAAATCACATAGATTATCTAATCAAGAAAACAGAAAAAGGAATTAACATCTTACGGTCAGTATGTGGAACAAAATGGGGATCAGATCCAAATGTAGCAATCCTTCTGTACAAATTCTACATTAGGTCAATACTGGATTATGGTTGTTTCTTCTACGGCCAAGCTTCAGAAAGTCAACTAGAAAAAATAGACCACATAGTAAATAAGTGTCTAAGACTATAGCTAGGGGCTTTAAAAAGTACACCAATTGATTGTTTATTTGCAGAAGTAGCGGAAACTCCACTAAAATATCGCCGAAAGATTTAAGCTTCCAATTTTATAGCTAAATTAAGCTCCAAAAAGAGCGACTTAGTCTAAAAAATTAATATACTGTTGACATCGGATCTTACCCATAGTTATTGGAAGTCGAAAAAAAAGTATCTATTATAGAGTCATATTATGTAATACATAACGTAATAGAAGAAAATACACTCTTCAGATATAGATCCATTATATAGTATAAATATTATTATATCCATTATATATAAAATAACATCCATCCAATTAACTGT